CATCAACATAAAACCGGCAGAAATGTCTGTATATAACAAACATCATACATCATACGTATTTTTATAAAATGTGAAATGAGGAAATGTCAAACAAGTTTAGAGCACAAAATGCATGTCATAGCTAATACATTGCTTATGTACATACATATATTTATGCTTATSAGTTAAGTTGTATGTCAAATTGTATATATTAATAGAAACTTAATTTCTTCGCTTTACAATTAGTGTAAAATCTAACAAGAAGCGAATATATGTATGTAAGTAGAAACAGTTTTAATACGAATGAACCTTCTTTCCACTCACTAACGCATAAAAGCTTTTAAACTGTGCATTCGATCGGAAAATGTTTAAATTATTTATGCCACCCTCATAGCAACCACCCACGCAATGTCTTCTCTAGGCAACCCACCCACTTTGTTGCTATTGTTTTTGTAGTCACTGTGCAAAAAGTGTCTACAAATCATTTTTGTTTATAGTTGAGTTAGTTTTTAATTAAAATCCTGTTATAATAAATTATAATTTATAGAGGTGGATCCAAGTGCGCGCCTTTTAGCCGCAACCACAGTAAACAGCAGCACATACATACGTACAACAGTAACGGTATATGAAAACTCTACACTAGTACAGGCGCATGCTGAAGTATGTCGCTATAAATCGAATTTTTGTTATTTATTTTCATTGCTGTCGACTGGCGGTGGTCGATTTCCGCTTCTCTAAGGATATGCGCTTACACAAACGCACACACAAGCTGATAYACTTACATATGTATATATGTAATTTCTGCTTTGTATAATTTTGTTAGGAATATTTTWGCTTTTTATACCCTRAACAGGGTGTAACAGTATGATCAACACGGCGAGCTGATTTAGTCATCTTCGTCTGTCTGTATACATGTACATACGTGTGTTAATCGCTCATTTTCTGTTATTCAAGCTGGTTTTCTGCACACGTTCTTTTCTTGTCAAGGAGCGGGAAATCCAGATATCTACATGAAATTTGGTAAGGGTTAGTGTCTAAAGAAGTAGTATAATTATTGAGGAAACTATTCAGATCGGACCACGATAGCATATAGCTGAGATATAAAGTGATCGATTAAAATATAGCTCTTGCATGGAAAACTGTTTTAATTGATAAGATATTTTCACAAAATTTAGCACAGATATTTGTTCAATATAATGCTATAATCTCCAAAATAATTGTACCGATCGGATCACTACATCATATAGCTGTCATACAAACTGATTAATCAAAATCTAGTCCTTACAGCAAAACTTTCATATATTGTACTTATGACGTGATATCTTCRCGAAATTTGGCTTTCATTATTGCTTACGTAAGCTATATATTCTAAGAAGCTGTTCASCTCCTGTACCGACTAATCAAAATAGGGTAAAAGTTGTTGAGTTTTTTTACTTATCAAGGGTATTATTGTTCGTTGCAACCGCAGTTAATGTGTTTTTTGTTTTTTTTTTTTTTCTTCTTGTATTTATTAGATGATTTTGTTTTCGTTGTTATTATCATTATGATTGCCATCGCTAACGCTCTTGTTGTTATTGTAAGTTTATTTATGACCCCAACAAGCCAACAACGTAGCAAGACAAAACAAAACAAAACAAAACAAAATCAACTTGAAATTTACGAGCGTACAATTATGCTAAATAAAATGCAGCATAACAAAATGTGACTACAAAAGCAACAAGCGACATATACATACAAACGATATATGTATGTACATATATATACATACAAATATACTTTCACACATATACATATACGCACATCCATAGTTATATGTGTAACACTCAAAGCAACCGATTTCCATGCCATCGAGTTTGCTTGCGTTGCCTCGCAAATTAAACCTTCTACATACATATGTACATACGTACAGCGTTTTGCCACAGTACCAAACTACCGGCCCCCCTCCACCAACTTGTCGCATAGTACATATTTGCGCCTCACTAATTTTCCATATTCCGAAAATTTTACATTTTACATTTTGTATTTTGCATTTTCTGTTTTCCATTTTGAATTTTGCATTTTCGTGACGCCATTTTTCTTCATCACTCACACACAAACGCGCACATGTGCACACATACATTATATTCGCTCTTCTATGTACATATGTATGTACATATGTTTGTCAGGTTTTGCATACTTTTTGCTCGCTTTTTGTTTAGTTTTATTATAAACTCTATTTTTGCATGAAGTATTTTATTTGCATATAAATTACAAAGAAGCCCCGCATAATTGCATTACGGCAYAATGGTCGGAAAAGGGATGGGTAGGAGAAAAGTTTTCATTCGAAGTTTTTCAATCGATTTTAAGGCGGAAGGTCGGTCGGCCGCTTGTACTTTTGGACGTTTGGAGGTACATAAGTATGTATGTGTTTATGTATAGGTACTGTGTTTTGAAGATTTAAGCGAAATTTAAAGGGTGTTGTATTTAGTGGTAAGGAACTAGTATTGCTAATAAATGGACGGCAAGGAAGTATTGAGGGTATTTGAAGCGTTGCTCGATCTCCAAATGTGGCAAAATGTTTAGTTGGCTATCCATTTAGCCAAAAATGTTCTTCATCGCTGAAGATGATTTCACGGTAGAAATAAAAATTTCAGTTTACCTTAAAGAAATCGAGATTTATAATAAAATTTCAATGAATTTTAGCATGTTTTTACCATTGTAAGCCTTTTGCATTGATYATTTGACAATGTACACCTAATATAAATGTCAAGCACATGTGTTTCCTTTGACAGCATTTTGTCCGAATTCGCTCTCTAAAAAGAACACACTATACATATGTATATAGAAGCAATTTGTATAAAAAATTTTATATCTAATATGGAAAGCGCATAAAATATTTAARTTTAATTGCTTTGATAAATGTTTGTTCCACCAAAGAGCATAAGTATCTTCATTGGTTAAGCGAAGTTTAAGAAACTAACTGCTTACCTTTTTATTAATTCAGACTTAAATAATTATTAAACGTATACAAGATATTAAAAAATATTATAGGTATGTAGGTTGTTGCTCCATAGCCTAAATTGATATCATTCGCTAAGGGCCTAAACAGGTGCAATATCTATTTTAGCCTTCAAATAAAACGTTGCCAACTTTCAGGGGCAATATATTTTTTTCTATTTTTTGCTATATCCAGTTAGCTTGAGGAAAAGCTCGTTTTTTTATAGTACTTCTTGTTTTTTTAAGCTTGCAATGGAGATTTCAAATAATATGTTGCCTACTTTTAGGGCAATGTACTTTTTTTTTCATTTTTGGTTTATCCAGTTAATTAGGAAAAGCTCGTTTATTTTCAGTACTTGGGGACATATGAATTTGGATATTTCACTTCCGCTTATATTCATGATACAAAAACTTCACTCAAAAAAGATCATCAGCGGTTCCCAGAACGCACCTGAAATAGAAAAGAACCAACAAAGTGAGCTAGATAAACGGGTTTGTTTATAAATTGAAACTTGTTCAGAGTAAATAAGAAGTGTTCTCACACTTCTCCATCTAAATACGCAAACTTTTTCGAGAAATCCATAATCGTCGCACAAGTTAAAAAAAAACAATTTCGAAAAAGCTTGGTTTAAACCTTGATTTATTCCTTCTTCGACCCTTGACACACAATCTTTTTGACGAAGTTCTCTCTTARGAACGTAGAGATTTCAAAAAGATTATGTTCAGCACTTATTTTGATCATAAAATTCACATTTCTGATTAACTTTGCAGTGTAGAGTTTTGAACAGRTTTTTTACAGATCGGAAATCTATAGCGCGTCTTAAAAAAACGTKTCTCTAACTTTTTAAGCGGTTATGTAACTCATCATTTTTTAGTACTGTGAATTATGATATGATATGGTATAGTTATAGTTTCAATATATCACTAACAACTTAAAATATTATATATATTGGTTACCAGGACCAGTCCGGAACTAGTCGTAGCTGCGAATTGTGATATGATATACATACGTATATATAGTTTCAATATATTTCTAACAATTTTTTCAAAAAATATATATCCGTTACCAGAACTAGTTCTGCACTAGTCCGCATAGCTGCAGAAATAATACAAATTTTTGCGAAATTTTAAATGTGAAACGACATATGTACATATTTAATCCATTAATTTTATCATCTGATTATACAAAAAGAACTCTTTCTAACTTAACAACAACCATATGAAAAAAAAAATTGTCCACTAGACCCATGAAAATGAAAATAAAAATAAAAATTTATAATTAAAAACTAAACCGCTAAAGTGAATTTAAAAGTGTTATGTACAACAAACACTTCACTTAAACAATTAATTATTAGTATTTTACATATTTATTTTAATTACCGCAATCAGTTTGGCTACTTTTCCAGTTCATATTTCATCCGACTAAAAATGCACAAAGTAAAACCGGTCCGGTTTTTATTCATATTTATATTTTTGCAAGCGCTAATTTATTTACATAAAATATTAGTTTTTGCACTTTTATTTCTTCGCTTTAATTACAATAAAATGAAGCGATCGCCGCACATTGATAGGCGACATGTCAACAGCTCGCGGCACAATGCACTCGAAGTGTTCTCATGCAACGCACAAACACACACAAGTCACATATAAAATGTATGTGCATATGTRTGTATGTATATATATTTAAAAATATGCATATATATGTATGTAAGCATGCATTGAACAGACCCCAGCAAACTATAAATAAAAGCAAACAAACTCACTCACAACTATCTAGTCATGCATTTTTGTATGTATGTACATAGATATAACGCGTTGTTCATGAGCCATGCTGCAGCGATCGCCAAGTAACCAAGCAATGCAAACGCTCGCTAGCCAACAATAACAGCAACAGCATGCTTACTCATTGGATAAGCGGATGCTTATAGCCAGAGCCAGAGCCAGAGCCACGAAGTGCCGTGCAGCTCTTCCAACCAGCAACAGTGAAGCRTTGTTACTGTTGTTGTTGTTGCTGTTGATACGAGCAACTAAATTGTGGCCTTACAAGTGTTGTTGTTTTGTTTATGCAGCAATTTTTTTGCATTTTTTTCAAGTTTTATTTTATTTATTTATTGTTTTTGTTGGTGTTGTTTTTGTAGTATATTTGTTGTCAGTTAGCTTGACGTTTTCGTTGTGGTGGAAAATAGCAACAGCAAAAATAACAACAAAAAACAGCATGCTTATAAATAATTGCATGCCACTTTAAGTATTTTTCCCCAATTAGTTTTAGAAAAGTGTTGTATTCCAGCGAATAAAACAAACTGTTTGTTTGGATATATATGTGTGTGTGTGTTTRTCTGTTAGAGATAGTTGATAATTTAAGTGAAAATATATAATTGCGGAAAAATGTGTGAAATACTAAAAATTGTGCAAACGAAATGCCGAAGAATGTAGGCAATGCAAACGAATTGTGCTGYCGTCTAACAGTAAATGTATGTAAATGATGGCGTGTTATGTGAATTCGCTGAGAAATTTTTTATATGCATTTATGCAATGAAAGGTGATCAATGAGATGCTGATTTGATAGTTCGAAAATCTTAGAGTTTTTACAAAGTCTCTCTCTATTTATTGTCATCAYGAGGCTACTGAAACTCACAGCACAAGCATTTGTCTCGCTCTCTCTTCCCTAAAAGCCGAAAARACTTATAAGAAATGAGTTAAGTGGCAGCTCACTCTCTCTCAGATGTAGTTCACTCTCTCCCTCTAACTCTCTCTATTACCATAACCTAAAAAAKTTGTAAGAAATAAGAAAAGATGCACACGACAATACGAGTAGCTTACTCCCTCTCTATATCCTTCGATTGACATAAACTGAAAGCTCGCTCTCTTTATCCATAGCCTAAAAGCCTATAAAGCTTGTAAGAAATAAATAGAGGATAGAGCAGCTTCTCTCGCTCTCTCTCCTTCTATTGACATAACCTAAAAGCCTCGTAAGAAATCAATCAAGCCCCTAGCACGAGTAGCTTTCCCTCTATCTCTCTCTTTCCAAAACCTAAAAAATTATTTTGCTTCAAACTCTGTAAATATTATCTTAACAGACTTTCTCCAAACAGAAAACTTCACTCTCGTTAGCTCCTCATAAGCTCTTTCTTTCTTCATAGTAATCAAGAAGAATAAGAATACTGTGTATAGCTATTCTTCATACATACTTTTTGTACATTTGCGGAAACACTTGTATTTCTCKGTATACATGCTCTGATTTCATAAAACTACTTATTTTCTATGCATCCTGAAGCTCTGACTCCCTCAGCATCCACAAACTTCAAAACAGATGGCAGGTGTCGAGAGAATATACTATACTTCTCTTTTCTTCTACTTTCAAGTTTTTAGATATAGAAGATCATATAATAAGTATTCTAAATATCTGGCAACCATAGGTTCAGCTTCAAATCTGCTCCRAACTGCTGCCGAGAATAATTACACCAATTAAAAAATAGCAAAGCGAAAAATTTTCACACGAGTATTAGAATCAGCATAAAAGACAACAAATAAATTTGTTAATGGGAATTTTACCAGCGAAATTAAAAAATCCGATTTTAGAACAATGAATCCGAGTCGAAGCTGGAGAGTARCTACACCGGGAAAAACTAGTTGATTGTGCAAAAAGCGTAAAATTTCCATAGAATAATAAAGTTTAASACTTTTGAGGTCCAGAAAACATTTYTTTGRTGAAAAAAATAATATGAATGTTTAAAAAGAAATAAAAAATATTAAAAACCAAGCACAGTAATAACTCTAAGCAACCACAAAGCAAGTTATAATGCACTCAGAGTTTGTATTTACGGTCCCATTTGACTGTTGTCTCAACTATATGCGGGCACAAGGGTACCTTTCCAAAACATATTGTACCGATAGGTGGCGCTAAGCTCCATATATTCTCAATAATCATACTGTAAATGTCAGAATTTTTTCATAAAATGTAATTATGTGGGAAAATTTGCCAGCTTTGTGTTAGCAGGGAGATTGAAAACACTAAAAAAGTTTTTCTAACCTCACTTTTAAGATATGCCAATTCTAAACTACATCACATAACAAAATATTCTAAATGAAAGATCCGGGCGACTCAAGACTTTTCTCAATTGTTTTCATTCATTAAAAAATAAGTAAAGCTTTCTAATCAACTAAGCTTTCATTTAATGAAAGCTTTCATCAAAGCCCATTTTCTCTTCAAACAGACTTTATACTAACGAAACGATTATTTAAGGATATGAATTTTTAGCGAAAAAAAATGAATACTTAATCAATTAAGCTTTCATCAAGCTTTCATTTAACGAAAACTTTCATTTTAGACTATTGTCTCTTCGAACAAATTTTGTATCAGCAAAACGTTTATTTACGGATATGAACAGGAAACATGAGCAAAAATATGTGTATGTACATACATATATACTTCCGCTGATGATTTCAACATGTGAGGTTCTAAAAACATACATACATATGCACAAACAAAATGACAAAACAATAAATTATAATTTCAYTAGAAATATCGTTATAATCCCTTAATTAAAACCAAAGAAATACAAAAGAGCAGACTAGACTTCCACATACATATGTGAAAATAAATATACATATACATACATACATCCATACATTTGTATATGTATGCATAAAGTACTCATAAAGAACATATGACTGAGATTTATGAAGCTCAGCCTAAGCTAGAGGGATCTTAGCAGAAATTCATTTGTTTCTCAACAACTCGCAGCATTTACGCAGAAACCGCTGACAACAAATGTGCAAAATTTAATAACACGACAAAAACATACAAACACTTCAAGAATAAAAAATGAGAAATACATACATTATACCTATATACATCGTATAGTTTATATAAATTTATACACATATATATATATATATGTAACAACATGTTTACATATAATATGACTATATGTCTGCCGATCTGACTGCATGCTGTCTGACATATTTCAACAACATTTGCACGGATCTCACTGCTTCAGCTGATCCTTTGAGCTGTGCGAACTTGACTCAGCCAACAACAGCTATCACTTAAACAACAACAACAACAATGAAAACTAATATCAAATCAAAAATCAAGAATTTTTTGTCAGCGCGCTGATGCTGCATTTACGTTCCATTTAAAATGCGAAATGTGTTTATTTTGCGCTCCAAATTCAAGCAACATGCTGTTATTGTTGTTACTGTTATTGTTGTYGTTGTTGCGCTAGTTTGTTGTTCTGGTTCTAAAAAAGCTATTTGGTTGGTTGTTCGGTGCTTGTCTGCCATTGTTGATCCCCAGCGGTTGCCAAGCACATATGTACGTATGTATATCTATACGTTTTTTGTATGTGTGTGTTTGTGTTTTTTTGCAGAAAACTTGTACCTTCTGCTGGAGCTTGAGACGACGCCGAGATAAACTCTSGCTCGGTTGGCGCGCATGCGAATTCTATGCTGTCACTATGCTTCTTGTTGTTTTGTTACATTTTGTATTGTTGTTGTTATTGTTGCTTTTCTGACATTTGTTGTAGTCGCCGCGGAGTCTTGAGTGTTCTTTGTTGTTTAATTATTGTCAGACATGCCATTAATTTCAGCATGTCATGTTGTTAACGAATTCCTTTTTGTTTTCAGTTTTTTCTTATTTTTCTGCTTATTGCTCGTTTCTTTCTTCCTTCAATTTAATTTTAATRTTGTTTTTATATTCACCGTGCTTTTTGTCTTACATTATTGTTTTTTTTTTTCGATATGCGTTTTTATGTGCTTTTGTACAATTTTTAGACAACAATATATTTTCTATTTTTAGTATTTTTTATTACTTTTTAACGCGATATCGTAGCAAAGTTATTTTATTTGCATTACATTTTTTATAGTTTTATTTCACCTTGTTGTTGTTGCTGTTTGCAAAAATAAATAAATYGTATTTTAATCAAAGCGGTTTAAGCTTCGTAAACTACATTTTGCCAGAGCGTTGTCATTGAAATGAATATGTGGTTCATTAATTCTCTAGTTTTTCATGAGCTACATTTACATTTTTATCATTTCGTGGAAAGAAGTCATTAATTAAAATTACATATACCATGTATGTATGTATTTATATATGCATATGTCTATATAATGTGTTTTTAACGTACTTGAACTGTAAATAATTAACGAGAAATTTACATATGTTTATGTAGATCGCTGATTTGAGCGCTGAAACTATTTCATTCTCAGTCGTATCGTAGTAATAGTTGTCATAAAAATTATACAATTTGAGTATACAACGAAGACAAGTAATATTATATTGAATGTACATATATCCAATATGTACATTTAAAGTCAATATATTTCTTGCTAAAGTCATCGTTATTGCTACTTAACGATCCAAACAAGATTGGATCGCCAAAGTTCAGCGCTTATGTTAGTTTTGCGATTCCACTTTGTTTTTAGCCTTATGTCGACGCAAATTAAAGGGCTATCCATTTCAAGATTCCATACTTTTTTAAAGAAACAACACAGAAACTTCAAATTTAATGGGGAGTGTTTGTTATCATTCAAAAGAACATTCTTGGCATTTATTTTTTGAAAATTA